ATGTGATACAGGCAAATGCTAAAAGGAAGCAGATAATGTGGGGGAGACGGAAGAGGAAGGCTGAAACGAAGGACTAGTAAATGAAAGGCTTAGATTTAAGGAGGCATGAAGATTGACCGATCCAAGTCACCGATGCTCCCAACGTGCAGTACGATCTCGGCAATCACTACTTTGGCCACCACTAACACCGGAACCACCAGTAGGGCCGCTGCCTCCTCCGCCACTGCTTGTCCCACGCGGCTGTGGGTAAAAGCCTTCTCCAGATTGGGATCTGCCAGTGGAACGCCAATCGTGTCCAGGAGGCCATCTCGACCCAGGTAGATGTGGTTGGTGCCACCGATTAGGAGAGTGATGTGAGCGATTTGAACTGGACCAGTGATGCTGATGGGAGGGATGATGATGAAGGTGATGACTTCTTGGCGAAGAGTGATGTGAATATATACTTGAAGACGAGGGCGAAGAGGAAGATGTATGGTAGCCAGAGTGTATACGATCACGGTTGGATGGAGTGTAATGACTGTGGTGCGAGGGAGGAGAATGAAGGTGATCACGAGAATGGTGATATTGTTGTTGGCTTTGATGCTGACTATAGTGTGAATAAGAGTGACGTGATGAGTGGGCAGTGCGATCGGTTCGTGGAGAGGCTGAGCTAGGGGAGCGTATGGGAGAGGGAGAACGAGATCCGACTGCAGTGCGTGAGGCCGGTAGAGGTTGTGCAGGAAGTTCTGGCGTCTTAGAGTCAATGACGTCGTCGCCCGGAGAGGAGGGAGAACAAATTAGATTATTTCGCTTCACCAACCCTTCTGACTCCAAATCTGGCTGTACTTCAGAGGCCGACGGCTGGGCCTCTGGAGAAGAGGTCACAGGAATGTTGGAATGAGAGATAATCTGTAAGGTATGGGATGAATGGGATTGAGAATGAATCCCCATAGGCGGAGAGGAAGCAATAGGATCAGTTGGCGGCCTTGGAGAGTTTTGGAGCGATAAAGAAAGGGATACAGATGGAGCAGGTGTACGAGGAAGGGTAATGGGAGCATGAGAGTGATCCGATTGATGATAAAATCGACTAAGAAGTCCAGGACTCAGGCCAATGGATTGCGACCGAGATCTCGATTTGCGAGAGATTCGGGGTACAGATGGAGAAGGAGATCGTCTTCGTGAGATTAG